TGACAGGCCACTAGCAAGACTAATAAAGAAGAAAAGAGAGAAGAATCAAATAGACGCAATTAAAAATGATAAAGGGGATATCACCACCGACCCCACAGAAATACAAACTACCATCAGAGAATACTATAAACACCTCTATGCAAATAAACTGGAAAATCTAGAAGAAATGGATAATTTCCTGGACACTTACACTCTTCCAAGACTAAACCAGGAAGAAGTTGAATCCCTGAATAGACCAATAGCAGACTCTGAAATTGAGGCAATAATTAATAGCCTACCAACCAAAAAAACTCCAGGACCAGATGGATTCACAGCTGAATTCTACCAGAGGTACAAGGAGGAGCTGGTACCATTCCTTCTGAAACTATTCCAATCAATAGAAAAAGAGGGAATCCTCCCTAACTCATTTTATGAGGCCAACATCATCCTGATACCAAAGCCTGGCAGAGACACAACAAAAAAAAGAGAATTTTAGACCAATATCCCTGATGAACATCGATGCAAAAATCCTCAATAAAGTACTGGCAAACCGGATTCAGCAACACATCAAAAAGCTTATCCACCATGATCAAGTGGGCTTCATCCCTGGGATGCAAGGCTGGTTCAACATTCGCAAATCAATAAACATAATCCAGCATATAAACAGAACCAAAGACAAGAACCACATGATTATCTCAATAGATGCAGAAAAGGCTTTTGACAAAATTCAACAGCCCTCATGCTAAAAACGCTCAATAAATTCGGTATTGATGGAACGTACCTCAAAATAATAAGAGCTATCTATGACAAACCCACAGCCAATATCATACTGAATGGGCAAAAACTGGAAAAATTCCCTTTGAAAACTGGCACAAGACAGGGATGCCCTCTCTCACCACTCCTATTCAACATAGTGTTGGAAGTTCTGGCTAGGGCAATTAGGCAAGAGAAAGAAATCAAGGGTATTCAGTTAGGAAAAGAAGAAGTCAAATTGTCCCTGTTTGCAGATGACATGATTGTATATTTAGAAAACCCCATTGTCTCAGCCCAAAATCTCCTTCAGCTGATAAGCAACTTCAGCAAAGTCTCAGGATACAAAATTAATGTGCAAAAATCACAAGCATTCTTATACACCAGTAACAGACAAACAGAGAGCCAAATCAGGAATGAACTTCCATTCACAATTGCTTCAAAGAGAATCAAATACCTAGGAATCCAACTTACAAGGGATGTAAAGGACCTCTTCAAGGAGAACTACAAACCACTGCTCAGTGAAATAAAAGAAGACACAAACAAATGGAAGAACATACCATGCTCATGGATAGGAAGAATCAATATCGTGAAAATGGCCATACTGCCCAAGGTAATTTATAGATTCAATGCCATCCCCATCAAGCTACCAATGACTTTCTTCACAGAATTGGAAAAAACTGCTTTAAAGTTCATATGGAACCAAAAAAGAGCCCGCATCTCCAAGACAATCCTAAGTCAAAAGAACAAAGCTGGAGGCATCACGCTACCTGACTTCAAACTATACTACAAGGCTACAGTAACCAAAACAGCATGGTACTGGTACCAAAACAGAGATATAGACCAATGGAACAGAACAGAGTCCTCAGAAATAATACCACTCATCTACAGCCATCTGATCTTTGACAAACCTGAGAGAAACAAGAAATGGGGAAAGGATTTCCTATTTAATAAATGGTGCTGGGAAAATTGGCTAGCCAAAAGTAGAAAGCTGAAACTGGATCCTTTCCTTACTCCTTATACGAAAATTAATTCAAGATGGATTAGACACTTAAATGTTAGACCTAATACCATAAAAATCCTAGAGGAAAACCTAGGTAGTACCATTCAGGACATAGGCATGGGCAAAGACTTCATGTCTAAAACACCAAAAGCAACAGCAGCAAAAGCCAAAATTGACAAATGGGATCTAATTAAACTAAAGAGCTTCTGCACAGCAAAAGAAACTACCATCAGAGTGAACAGGCAACCTACAGAATGGGAGAAAATTTTTGCAATCTACTCATCTGACAAAGGGCTAATATCCAGAACCTACAAAGAACTCAAACAAATTTACAAGAAAAAAACAAACAACCCCATCAAAAAGTGGGCAAAGGATATGAACAGACATTTCTCAAAAGAAGACATTCATACAGCCAACAGACACATGAAAAAATGCTCATCATCACTGGCCATCAGAGAAATGCAAATCAAAACCACAATGAGATACCATCTCACACCAGTTAGAATGGCAATCATTAAAAAGTCAGGAAACAACAGGTGCTGGAGAGGATGTGGAGAAATAGGAACACTTTTACACTGTTGGTGGGATTGTAAACTAGTTCAACCATTATGGAAAACAGTATGGCGATTCCTCAAGGATCTAGAACTAGATGTACCATATGACCCAGCCATCCCATTACTGGGTATATACCCAAAGGATTATAAATTATGCTGCTATAAAGACACATGCACACGTATGTTTATTGCGGCACTATTCACAATAGCAAAGACTTGGAATCAACCCAAATGTCCATCAGTGACAGATTGGATTAAGAAAATGTGGCACATATACACCATGGAATACTATGCAGCCATAAAAAAGAATGAGTTTGTGTCCTTTGTAGGGACATGGATGCAGCTGGAAACCATCATTCTTAGCAAAGTATCACAAGAACAGAAAACCAAACACCGCATGTTCTCACTCATAGGTGGGAACTGAACAATGAGATCACTTGGACTCAGGAATGGGAACATCACACACCGGGGCCTATCATGGGGAGGGGGGAGGGGGGAGGGGGGAGGGATTGCATTGGGAGTTATACCTGATGTAAATGACGAGTTGATGGGTGCAGCACACCAACAAGGCACAAGTATACATATGTAACAAACCTGCACGTTATGCACATGTACCCTATAACTTAAAGTATAATAATAATAAATAAATTTTTAAAAAATTATTTAGATCAATATGTTTTAACCTTTTAACTCTTTCTCAAACAAAACAATTTCAATTCTCCTTTAATGTTATTTTAAATTTCAAAATACACAAATAGCATGCCTAAGATAAAATCAAGGGAATGATAGTTTTAGAACAAAAACTGTGGTAATTTTGAAAACATGAAAGCTAAGACCACTGATTAGGTCTATGTGGACACTAAGTCCACCACGAACTGTTCTATCCTCCAGGTCTCTGCCCACACCTTTCCCTTGCCTGAGATTCCTTCTGCTTCCTACCCTTCCAAATACTGTTATTTCCCCCCAGAAGACTTGCCAAGACCCTGTAGCCTGCACATCTTCCATTCCAGATAACCAAAGGCATCCTTGCATTCACAAACCCAAATTATTTTGCAGAAAAGGCATCTAAAAACTTCTACTGTAGACCATTCACCTTAATAATTGTTATCATGACATTATTCAATAACAAAATGAGGGAAAGAAGTCCTCTTTAACTCCATTACCCTGGAGAATCCAAGCAAGTGTCTTTCCTATTTGCTTTGCCCAAACCCTGGGAGCTTTCAAAGTGAAAGTTTAATGGAAAGGAAAGAAAATCTGAAAGAAAAACACTCCAAAAAATTAAACTCGAGCAAAGAATCACGGGATTAAAAATGTTTATTCTTTGTATATTTGATTTCTGAAACATAGAAATCTATCTCTCACTCCTTAAATCTGCCACTGGGCTAAGAGAGTATTGTATATAATGTGCGCTCATTGATTTAACAGAATTGGAACATCCAGGCACTCACTGAGATTCTGGTTCCACAACTGCTCAAAGTCTAGTCATTAGTTAATGAGTTAATACCACACTTGATCTTCAAATTTTGGAAATGCTGATGGTAGACGGGAACTTGTTTTGAGAAAAGAAAGCATACGGTAGACATTGTTACCCATTATCCAACCATCACCACCTTTCCTTTAAAGAACCCCACTCTTCCTTTAAAGTTGCAGAGTCTCAGAAAGTGGGAAGAAAGGAAGTTTTTGCATTTTCAGGTCAAAAGAAAGTACATTTGTACAACCACATAATACCTATGCAAATGTTTGTTGAAATCTAAACACAAGACAGAAGTAGTTCTAGTACTTCCACAAAAACTAAGATAAGTAAACTTTTCCTTAATATACACTATGAGCAGCATCAACACCTAAAAGTGGTTGACTCTACTACTGTATTAAATTACGTTCATTTTGTCAATATGTGTTCCAAATTCTTACTGCTCTTTGTCTCCAAAGGGTTCCTGCTAAATATTGAGACAGTTCAAGAATACTAGGGAAAAAAATTTTAATAATCAAAGTAAGGGTCATCTAAGTATAATATGCCACATATACAGACACAGTAATATTTTCAAGTTTAAAAAAGCTCAGTTGTCAAAGTTGTACAGCAAACACTATGGTAAGCTTAGCCTCTTCAGGCATTTGATTTTTAATCACTGTAAAGAAAAGTCAGTCACAAAATGCCACATTTTGTATGATTCTATTTGTATGAAATGTCCAGGATAGGCAAATCTACAGAGATAGAAATTAGATCACAGGTTGCCAGGATCCATGGTGGGGGATATGGGTATAGGGAGTGACTGCTAATGGGTACAGGGTTTCTTTTTGGGGAGATGAAAAGTTTCTGAAATTAGGTAGTGCTAATGGCTGCATAACTCTGAATATACTAAAAACTACTGAACTGTACACTTTGAAGGGTGAGGCTTATCATATGAAAACTGTATCACAATAGAGCTGTTCATTTAGAAAATGTTTGGCTATGAAATAAAGAAATAGGATTAGGCCAGGCGCGGTGGCTCAAGCCTGTAACCCCAGCACTTTGGGAGGCTGAGACGGGCGGATCATGAGGTCAGGAGATCGAGACCATCCTGGCTAACACGGTGAAACCCTGTCTCTACTAAAAAATACAAAAAAAAAACCTAGCCAGGCGAGGTGGCGGGCGCCTGTAGTCCCAGCTACTCGGGAGGCTGAGGCAGGAGGATGGTGTAAACCCGGGAGGTGAGCTTGCAGTGAGCTGAGATCTGGCCACTGCACTCCAGCCTGGGCGACAGAGCGAGACTCCATCTAAGAAAAAAAAAAAAAAAAAAAAGACATAGGATTATAGCTCAAAGATATGGGATATAAAATAAATGGAAGAAAACTGCTCAATAGTCTATCTAGAATCACACAATGCTTAAGTTTTACCCTGACTAAAATGGCAAGTTTTGTGTTTTATTGGCATTTCACATTATTTACTTCTTCCTAAGTCAGCCAATAATTCCTCCTCCTCACTTAATAGTTGACTATGAAGACCAAGCCATTTTGATTCTGCCTCCAATGAGCTTTCACATTTCATTCCTCCTTCCACTCCCAGGACTACCAAACCAACGTAGGTTCTCCTCACTTCACTCTAAGATGACGGCGTGGCCCTCAACTACTGTCACACTCTTCTAGGCTCTGTGAGCACAGTGTGTCTCATATTCTCTTCCGCTGTCACCAGATTTATTCTAAAACAGTTTCTTTACTGTTACTCCCCTGTTTCTCAACCACTTACATAGAAAGATGAATATCTGGGGTAATAGTTTACTTACTAGAAATAAAATCTGTCACCAATTCACAGAACTGTTTGAGTACAAGATTATTACATCAGCACTATTTCCTACAACTCTTCTACATGAATCCTACCCTCCTTGTGTTATAGCTCAAACTGGTCTCGTATACTCTGAATCTCTCATTCTCTTTCCTAGATACCTGATTGTGTTTCCTTTTCACCTACGTAAATAATTTTCCTTCAACCTCCACCAGCTGACCAAACCCCACTCACATTTCACTGCCCACCTGAGATCCCACCTACTTCATGAAGAGCAACCTTTGCAGCTTTAAACCTCAGAGAAATTAAGTCCATACTTAGCTTTTCTTTTTCTTTTTTTTTTTAGATGGAGTTTATCTTTGTCACCCAGGCTGGAGCACAGTGGCGTGATCTCGGCTCACTGCAACCTCTACCTCCTGAGTTCAAGAGATTCTCCTGCCTCAGCCTCCCAAGAAGCTGGGATTACTGGTACATGCCACTACATCTGCCTAAGTTTTTGTATTTTGGTAGAGATGGGGTTTTGCCATCTTGGCCAGGTTGATCTCAAATTCCTGACCTCAAGTGATCTGCCCGCCTCGGCCTCCCAAAGTGTTAGGATTACAGGTGTGAGCCACAACACCCAGCCAAAGTTTCTATTTCTTAAGTTGGGTATATGGACATATAATTTAACGATTAAGAAAAAAAAAGATACCTTCCTGTTTTTTTCGTGTTTTGTTTTTTGTTGTAGGCCTGTGTGCTTCATTCATTCCCCCATATGAATCTGTAAAGAAGTAGCCATTAACAACTTCAATCAATATATACCGGATTCATACTTTAGGAAGACAATCCAGTTGACAACCACAACAGTTTCTATGATAACAGAAGTGATAGAAAATACTACATTAGGGTCATTTCAAGAAAGTTCAATCATAAGATATATCCCCAAGCAAAAATACACACACAAAAAAGCTAAGTAAGAAGCTTTTAGAAAACTACTATCATCCTTGGAGTAAGTACAACAAAGTATTCTTTTATGTCTTTGTTTTTTTCATGAAAATGCTTCCTATAGCCATAGATTTTAAACCATTATATCTTATCTAGATTTCATATTAGATCATTAACATTTTTTCTAGATTCCATTGTTATTCTTTGGTAACCTTTATTTTTAGTATCTTAAAAATACTTTATTAAATATAACACATACATTCAGAAAAGTACATAAAATATACCTTAAGGTATAGCTTAAGTTATTGTAAATTATTAGCCCAAATACCCACCAACCTGGTCCCGAAATATATTACAGCCGGTATCCAAGAAGCCCACAGTTGTACCTTTCAGTTCACACCTCCCTACCTCCCACCTCGATGGCTCTGTGAGCACAGTGTGTCTCATATTCTCTTCTGCTGTCACCAGATTTATTCTAAAACAGTTTCTTTACTTACCCTGTGTGTAACCACCTCTTTGTTCTTGATAGTTTTACTGCCCAAGTATGAATCCATAAGAGTGTTTCTCAGTTTTCTTTTCATTTTTGTCCCCCTAAGAAGCCTTTTTAGAAGTTTTCTTCCTAATTCTACCCCCATGCCCCATGGAATTTTAACACCACAGATATATTGTATATCTATTTATGTTTACGTCCCTTTGGAGGGCAGCAGACCATTATAATAGGTAAGATTTTCTTTCACTCTAAGGGCCAGTTTTCACTCCACTGCAGGCAATATTTCCCCTACTAAGAATGTATGCCCTAACCAACATTTTGCCTATTTTTGAACTCTATATAGAGGAAATTGTACAAATTAGGTTTTGGGGGTCTGGTCTCTTTTGTTTAACGTAGTGTTCAAGATTCGCCCATCTTATCCCACATAGCTGTAAGCCATTCTATGAATACCATAATTCTCCATTTTATTGGAATGAACATTTGGGTTATTTTCTGTTTGGGGCTATTATAAATGATACTGTCTGAAGATTCCTGTGTCTCCTAATGCTTACGTACTCATTTCTTGTGGAGTATATATCCACGAGATTCCTGAACCATAGGGTATGAGTATCTTCCCTTTACCAAGTTGTTTTCCAAACACTTGTACAAATATACACCTCCATTAGGAGGATATAGAGTCCCATAACAATTTCTTACCTTAAAAGATAAGTTGAGCAAAATGTCTCCTATCCCTTCTTTTTCTTTTACAATCTGAAGATCACTGTGCAAAGCACTGTCAGGGTCAACCCTAAGAATTACAAAACAAAAATATAATTCAAATACAAAGAGATTTTTTATTTTTACTAACTCAAAAATGAACCAATCTGAAAGTTAAAATAGAGCACCTAGGGTAAGTTCCAGAAAGAGAAGATCTTAAGCTGCTGTATATCCCCAGGAAAAATAGAGGCCATTATAGCTTCGAGCTCCTTTAGAATAAATGTCCCAAAGAGATCATAATAGCCTAAATCTAATCTAATAAGGGGGTTCAGAGTTTGCAGTCATTCTAAAGGAAAATAGTCACATGTATATAATGTTCTCAAGAATTCAAAAAAAGTTTACTATGCTTTCCTAAACTTGTATTATAAGCCAAGATGTTCAAGGAGAAAAAGTAAACATTTGCCATGGACGGAACTATCAAAAGCTAAATCACTAAAAAATTGATATTTTTCTATAACTGTCCTATATATACATGTCCAATATGAATCCTACCCCAAATACCCCCTTTTTTTTTTAAGAGACAGGCTGTCTCACTCTGTCACCCAGGCTGGAATATAATGGTGCAATCACAGCTCTTTGTAGCCTTGACTTCTCCAAGCTCAAAAGATCTTCCTGCCTCAGCCTCCCACCACCCCTGGTAGCTGGGACTACAGGTGTACTCCACCTATATATTTTTAAAGTAATAACATAACTACCTCCACAATAAGAGTTGATTATGTTGCTTTCAAAACTGGGGGGAAAAATCACAAAAATCAACTTGGCAATCATTCTCTGTATAATGAAATGTATTACTCTTATTTACTTACCAGGCAATATTGTTCAAGCTTTTTGCCAGAAGATAAAAATCATGTAAATGTTCACTCTATCAGGAAGATGACAAAAAAATTCCGACGGACCTACAAAAACAATTTCTTCAAATCCAAAAAACAAGCAAACTCATCCTATCTTGCGTCCTACATCTTTTGGAACTTGATTGCATTTGAGTTTCACAAATTAAGGCTAGTAAACATTCCATTTCTGTCCAGTTTTAAGAAATGATATTTATAATCTGACAACAGAAAAGAACAAAAGAACAATAAGAGCAGGGATTTAGAGATCCTTACCTGTCTTATAACTCTGTGATCTATATATGGTCCCGAGTTCTTTCATAAATCTATCTGAAGCTTGCACTGACCCAGACACTGCAGCCTGAAACACAAAAGCCACTGTTTACCAGGGTCTACTGAGCCAACTAATTTAAAGATTTAAGGTATTTCAACCTGCTCTAAAAGATTACAGTAGCCAGGCAGGGGGCTCACACCTGTAATCCCAGCACTTTGGGAGGCTGAGGAGGGTGGATCACCTGAGGCCGGGAGTTTGAAACCACCCTGGCCATCAGGATGACACCCCATCTCCACTACAAAAATACAAAAGTTGGCTGGGCCTGGTTGCATGCGCCTGTGTGCCTATATGCAACTCATTTCAGCTACTCAGGAAGCTGAGGCAAGAGAATCACTGGAACCCGGAAGGTGGAGGTAGTAGTGAGCTGAGATGGCACCACAGCACTCTGGCCTGGGCCACAGAGCAAGACTCCATCTCAAAAGAAAAAAAAAAAAAGAGAGAGAAAGAGAAATTACAATAAAAATGGATTACCACTCAACATTTTAAGAACTAAAAAAACAGTCCAATTAAATGAAGCATTATGAAGTCTCAAGAGAATATAAAACTAGACAAAAGTCTGGTTCATTTCCTATTTTTTGTCATCTGAAAAACTCTAGCCAACATGTTCAGACCACCATGGACTCCACGATAGCATAGAATTCAGTATGAGTCTATTCCAAACCCCAGCAATTTTTGAAAATACTAGAAGGCACTCAAGGTAACAAATTATTAACTAGAATAGACTTCCATTCATAAGACTACAAGCAAGAATATTGCACAGATGGTCTAGTTCACCCATTAAGACACTGAGAACCATGTGTGCCTACATGCAACTCATTTCAGTTTTTCGTGCAGGGACTTCTATAAGGATGAAAACATGCTGATATCTTATCCTAGCACTAAATAGAAATGGAACTACTTTTTGGTCATGTGAAACTAAAGATTTTAATGATTGCACTATACTATACTTTGAAGGAGAAAAAAATCTAGTTTATGAAGATATTACTTCTTAGCTATGTAATCATGAACTCATTTCATATCTATAAAATATGAGAAGTTTTTCCTATCTCTAAAATATAAAGAGCACCTATTTCACACAGTGGCTATGAAGACTAAATGAAAAGATCTATAAAGTACTTAGCATAGTATCGGCCATGCAAAAGTGTTCAATAATTTATACTTGTTTTGAAGATAACTCAAACTGGAATCGATCACAAAACACAGAAAGTACAGTAACATTAATTCAAATGCTACAGTTTTAGTTTTTTAAATAATCAAGATATAGGGGGATTGACTAAATTTCTTTGCTCTATGAAAAATTACCAATTAAATTAATATATAAACAAGATTGAAGGAGGGAGAGTTATCTATCTGATTTCAACATTTGGCATCTACTTGCCTAGCAATTCATTCCCTGTTTTGGAGAACCTGTGCCCAATACAAAGTAACTGGTCCTCAGCTTTCATGGAGTTAGTAAATAGCTCTAATACAAGGCAGGAAGCAGTAAGTGTTCAGACAATCATTTGATGTTTCCCTACTCTAAGTATTTTATGTATACACACAGTTAATTCTCATTTATTTTTCATAGCAATCACCCAAAAGGTATGTACTGTCTAACCATATTTTAGAGTTGAGCAAAGTGAAACCATACAAGGTGTGTCTGTCACCAAACTCAGTGTTCCTTTCCCATCCTGCCACTTTAAATAAAAGAGATGTTAAGTCAAAAGAGAAACATTACTTTTGGTTTGGTCAGAGCAGGATGGATCGAAGTCAGCTTCATGAAGGAGAAATAATTTGAGTTGTGTTTTGTAGGAGAGAATGAATTTGAATATACAGATGCCACAGAAGGAAGGTCAGCAGAGAAAACAGCATAGACAGCTGGAAAGGGGCATATACAGGGATCAGCAGGTGGTTCAGGATGTGAAGAGCAGATGAACAGGATAAAAAGTGGCTATTCGTAGACGAGAAAGATAACCTTGGGCAGCAAAACATATGACTGTGGCTGGGCATGGTGGCTCATGTCTGTAATCCCAGCACTTGGGCAGGCCGAGGTAAGAGGACTGAACTCAGGTGTTTAAGACCAGCATGGTCAACAAAGTGAGACCTCATTTCTACTAAAAATCAAAAAAATTAGCCTGGTGCGGTGCCACAAGCCTATAGTCTGAGACACTTGGGAGGCTGAGGCAGGAGGACCACTGGAGGCAGGAGGACCACTGGAAGCAGGAGGACCACTGGAGCCTGGGAGATAAAGGCTACAGTGAACTATGATTGTGCCACCGCACTCTAGCCCAGGCGACAGAGCAAGACCCTGTCTCAAAATCAATAAACAAATGACTGAATCCACCACTAAAGCAGGAATGGAGGAGGACAGCAGCTGAGATCAGCATGTTCATGAATTGCCTTGTGTTAACTATAATTACTTGACCAAAAAGTCCAGGCTCCAGATATTGATACACAATTACACATTTAAACGGTCTTGCCTTTCAGTCTTCCTAATTTTCTCTAATATTGCCCAATTTTCTTTTTCAATTCCTTCATCCTTCAACTTTTTCCCATTAATAGGCTCTTCTTTCATCTCATAATGATCTAAGTCTTCTATATCCTGCAAAAAGAAGAAAAATGTTAGCTTATTGAACCTATTTTTCTTCAGCAGTTTCTCATGCCAAAAGTTAAATTATTCTTGACTCAATGGGGGACAATAAACAGAATATATCTATCCTATGGGGAGAGAGAAAAAGCCCCACATTCCATTCAAGAGGCTCTCACCTTTTATACCCTATATATTATTTAAAAGTTAGACTCTGGGTAAAGCAGATTTAAAAGCTTTACAAAGTCACAACTATAACAAAATAAACCATCATTTTTTTATTTACTTCTTTATTCAATTTATTTTATTTTTTTAAGATAGAGTCTCACTCTGTCACCCAGGCGGGAGTATAGTTGGGCAATCTCTGCTCACTGCAACCTCTGCCTCCCAGGTTCAAGTGATTCTCATGCCCCAGTCTCCTGAGTAGCTGGGATTACAGATGTACACCACCAAGCCCAGGTAATTTCTTTGTACTTTTAGTAGAGACAGGGTTTCACCATGTTGGCCAGTCTAGTCTCAAACTTCTGACCTCAGGTGATCCGCCCACCTCAGCCTCCCAAAGTGCTAGGATTACCAGCGCGAGACACCACACCCGGCCAAGCCATCTTTTAAATCTCCTCTTAGGAGGCACCTTTGAAACAGTGTAGCAGCAGGTGTCAAGAACCTTAACTGTCCATAGTTTGTTCCAGAAACTCAAATTCTAGAATTATATTCCAAGAAACCAGTCTAAGATGTAAACACAAATTTAGGCATAAGGATACCTGTTTCAACCTTGCAACCACAAAAACACAAAATCTGCATGTGCAAAAATAGCAAAACAGTTAACTCCATTAACTATTAAGAGGCCACCAAAATACCAACACAGCATAATTTCTCCTGTATCAAAAAACTTTGAAATGAAAAATGGAATACACAAAGGAATAGAAAGAATTTCAATTATGCTGAAATAAGCACAGAAAAAGACCAGAAGAACTTATATTGAAAGGTTAATTTCAATTAATTTTAGTTGTTATCTCTGGAGACATTTGGTGCTTTCCCCTAATTTCCAAGTTTATGATTTTATGTAGTAAGCATCTATTGACATTAATAACTAAAATATAAGTTAGAGAAAGAATTTTATCTCAGGTGCTCAGAAGGCTGAAATAGAAGAATCGTTTGGGCCGAGGAGTTTGAGGCTGCAGTAAGTTATGATCATGCCACTGCACTCCAGCCTGGGTCACAGAGACCCTATCTCAAAAAATAATAATAATTTAAAGATAATTTGAATAATACCCCCCAGAACAACATCTTTATTCACATGACTCTGCTGCCTCCATTCCCATACTATGTTCTTACATATATACAAATACATGCAGAATTGTTTAAATCCTAACTTTGTTCAATTACCTTATTTTTCTACTTCAATTGCCAAAATCTCTAAAGGAGTATTTATATTTATCTCGATTTTTTTTCCAAAGCTGGCTAATTCACTGATTTCTAGATCAGATTACTGTCTACCACCCCTCAAATTCTGCCCATGACTCTGTACTTCATGGAGCTCCCTTCTTCCTGTGTGCACCTTTCAGCCCTGATCTTCCATCCTACGCTTGTTTTCCTCACAATGCTTACAAATGCCTTTGGCCTGTATTTCCACCTGTACCTTCAACCTCATTCATGTTCCCATCCACAAAATTTCTCCACCTAAATATTAATCAGCACATCCCAAACAGAATTCAACATATCTTTCTAAAACAATATTTTCAGCACACGATTCCCTGATAAAGGCCTTCCTATCAACAATCACACCAAATAGAAACATGCCTGTCTTGAATTCAAGACTTTTAACCATCTGCCTTTTCTGGCCAATCTTACTTTCCATGACTTAACACATCAACCTTCCTTCTCAAAAGAAACATATCCAATGAACCCAAACACACCAGGTCCAAGGTTGTTCTGGGCCTGTTTCCACGTTATTTTAGGAGCCTAGAATATCTGCTTTTCACCTGTCCTAATCTGACATCTCCAAAGTCCAGTCTCCTGCCTTTCTAGATTTCTCTCAAAGTTGCAGTCACGTGTTTATTATCTTGTGAAGGGAAAATGAAAGGGTTCGTGAACCTTAGTACAATGGCCGCCTGACACACGGAAAAGGTTTGATGTTTTCATGCAGTTTATTCCACCTAAAATAAACTGCATAAAAACATTAAAACAAACTCTCATTCTACTTGGACAATTTTAAGAAGTATTTTACTCCCAGAATCATAAAACAAGCCTACAGCCAGGCACAGTGGCACATGCTTGTAATCCCAGCACTTTGGGAGGCCGAGGTGGTGGATCACCTGAGGCCAGGACTTCAAGACCAGCCTGGGCAACAGAGCGAGACTCAAACTCGACAAAAATTAAAAAATAAAAAATAAATTAGCTGGATGTGGGGCACCCACCTGTAGTCCCAGATACTCGGAAGGATCACTTGAGTTCAAGGTTACAGTGAGCTGTGCCTGCGCTACTGCACTCCAGCCTGGGTGACAGTGAAACCCTGTCTCAAAAAACAAACAAGCAAAAACAATCCTACAACACTACTTCTTTAGTTCAGAAGCACTCTAAAGTATATTTTAGATTAATAATTTCCAAACCAAGAAAATGAAAGTCTAAATTATAAGACCCCAAACAGAAAAAGTCTTTTAAAACAATCAATACCATGGAATTCACATACCTTCTATTTGGTCAAAGAAGAGACACAGATCTTTGTTGTGAGGTTTGAATTTAAATGCAAAGCTTCAGAGCCTGAAAACCTCTAAAATTATACCCATGACTGACAACTGGCCTAGGCTCAATGTCTTTGGAATTTGCTCTACTAAATTTGCTACTGTTGGAATGTATTCCCTCCAAAATTCAAGTGTTGCCAATGTGATGATATTAATAGGTAGGACTTTGAAGAGGTGATTAGGCCAAGAGGGCTCCTGCCTCCTTAATGGGATTAAGTCCCTTACAAATAAGGCTTCACACATTGGACTAGCTTGCTCTCCTGCCCTTCTGCCTGCTACCACATGAGGATGCAACAAGAAGACCCTGAGACACCAAATGTTGATATTTTCATCTTGGATTTCCCAGACTCCAGAACTGTCAGAAAATAAATGACTGTTCTTTATAAATTACTCACTCTCTGCTATTCTGTTACAACACTATAAAACAGACTAAGACAAATTTCTTTGATGATTTTTCAACAAGAGACAGTTTCACTACTTCTGGTGAGTAGTACCTAAAATATTCTCAAACTCTCCTTCTGTGGAAACATAAAATTTTTTAAACTCAGTAGTTCCTCTTCCAAAAACTAACCAAATACAGGTTAAGTACTGATTAGTATTAAATATAATTTGTATTGCTAAAAGTTAAGAGCTTTTGTTTTCCAGAAAATCAAATACAAGAATTCAGATAAAACAGTTTGCTCAAAGGCATATCATGAGTTAGAGGTAAAGACATAATTTATAAATTACATTCCATTCCAAATACAATGTGCTTTCAATTATTGCACTTTAGTAGTAGTTTATAAAGGAGATAAGAGAATTACTCAAATGTTCAAAAATGAAGATATTTATAATTTATTTTATTTTAAGACAGAGTCTCTCTCTTGTCACCCAGACTGGAGTGCAGTGGCACGATCTTTGCTCACTGCAACCTCCGCCTCCCAAGTTCAAGCGATTCTCCTGCCTCAGTCTCCCGAGTAGCTGGGATTACAGGTGCCCACTACCATGCCTGGCTCATTTTTGTGCTTTTGGTAGAGACAGAGTTTCACCACGTTGGCCAGGCTGGTCTCGAACTCCTGATTTCAGGTAAGCCATCCGCCTTGGCCTCCCAAAGTGCTGGGATTACAGGCATGAGCCACCTCGCCCAGCCGAAATGTCATTCTTATATAAAATACCTACTTCAGCCATCTCTTCTTCCTTTTCTTTTGAAGTCACTTCTTCTGTTGTCCTATTCTGAAATAGAGAAAGAATCTGCCAGGGCTACACAGAACAAGTATGCACAGGCTGAGTACATTAGAAGACTGGTGTCATAGCTTTAGGGACAAACTCTCAACCATCTGTCACTGCAGTCCCACTGCCAGAGAGCTTATTAAAATTAAATGTTAATTTTGAAATCCAACATTGATTTGACAAAGAACAGTTCTCAGCTTTTAAAAATGAAACAATTTTGAACAATTCAACTTAATGGGTGCCTTAGGAATAAAGAAAAGCAATCAGTCAAATACAAAGCAAAACTGAAAAAAAAATTAAAACATAATCTAATTTAAAATAAGGAAACATTTTCCTTATATGGCTATGTGCATAAAATCAAAGGCTTATTTTGTTTAAAATAAATCTCCCAAACTATCAATTCCTTAAAATAGCTACTTTTTTAACTTTGAAAAGCCTGAATCACCACATAAATTCAATTGCCTTACATTTTAATAGGTCAGATGTGTTACTTATAATAGACACTTCCCAAAACTAAGAATTATGACATGATTACCACCTCACTATAAGGCAAATTTTCTTTCAAGAAACTTGTAATTTACTATCAAATATCTCTCTAAAAGACACAATTTACCAATTAACACAAATTACAATTATCAAGTTCAGAAATGAACCTAATGAATTTTTAGGAAGTGCCTTCATACCCAGTTTGGTCAAAGTTCAAAAGACAAGCTTCCTGGCCAGGACACAGCATATAAATGCATCTTTAACCATGCCAGTTCAGGTTAGAACCCAGAATATGTAAAAGATCAAGAAACTAGGATCCAGAAATCAAGACCAACAAAGGTCTCAGGAGTATCCAAGCATCTGTTATTAGATACTCTGCTGGAATAATTCTCAAGAAAAACAAACCCATGATCGCAGAGGGCATGAGAACTCCTCTGGATGAGCCAGCTGGAGAATGTCATGTAGACAAACATTTCCATGCAGAATTAACTTATATTTCCTTTAAATCTGCATCTCTTTAGACATTCTTTGTTTTCTAAAAACTAAATGGAAAAAAGAAGCAGGCAGCAGCTTCCAAAATGTAATTCGCCCCTTCTTCATTTCCCTACATTGTTATATTCCAAATCTAATTATTCTGGGTATCTAAAGAATATATACCCAGCCTCAAAGTCACAAAGAGTTTGGTTACATCAGTGGTCGAAAGAACATTTTTGAAATGCTAATTTTAAAGCCTACCCAAAGAATCTGTTTTGCAAATGTTCTCTGAGGTGATTCTCAAATACATCTGGTTCTGTCACCACTAGCCCAGTTACTATCCTTCATTTTACACATGAGAAAGCTGAGCCCCTACCCCCTCAAAAACGGGAAGTAATTTAATCAAAACAAAAAGTGATTTAGGGCTGTGAAATCTTAAGATTAATTTCATTTCAAGATATGGTCTGGTCCTCTTTCCAAAACCCCACTGAAATGACATAATTTTATAAAAGACACTAAGTCTGCTGCAGCAGCAGAAAAATAACAAATATAAAAAGAATACCCTTAGTGAACCAAAACTATAAGGACATACTGGAAGATACAAAGCAGATGGAATCAGACTGCTGGGCTCGAGAAAGCCACAAACCCAATCCAAATAATGGAGGGACCACTTTTGTTTGAAGAACCATTCTTCACAACACTTGTCCCAACTATAGTTGGTAAGGATCACTCAGCTAATAGGAAGCCTATCTTGAAGGTCTCTTACTACGACTGTCAAAACCAGAGAGAAAAGACAGAATGTTTTCAATATAACTAAATGCAGTAGCAAAATCTTATAACAGACTCTGCCTCTTCCTGCTAGCTCAGGAGCTAGAAAGCTCACCGGCCAGCACCTCCCCATCCTCATGCCACAGGAAGAGCACAGGTCTGCAAACCAGGAGGGGGAGGCCACAGCAGAAAAGAGTGACAATTCTGAAGACACTCATAATAACTGATACTGATCAAAGGTATACCTCATCTATAAATGAACAGATAACCATGTATCATCAGAGAGTTGAAGAAAATTAGCAACCTGAAAGGAAGGTGCCAAGTCAAAGAAGCACAAATGACCTGAAGCACTGCTAATGAAGGAAATAAACAGAATTTTAAAACCTAATTGGAATCCTTAGCAGTAATTGAAAAGATACTGTATCCACAAAATACAAAACAGATTACCATGCAAAAGACAATTCTAGGAGGTAAAAAATAAGACTCCCCCCCCCCAAAAAAAAAGAAAATAAAAATTGTAGAAGGGCCAGAGCACAATGGACTTGACTCAGCAAAGCATTTACAGTGGCTTATGTCTGTAATCTCGGTACTTTGAGAGGCTGAGGCAAGCAGATCACGAGGTCAGGAGACAGAGACCATCCTGGCTAAAACATGGTGAAACCCTGTCTCTACTAAAAATACAAAAAAAATTAGCCAGGCATGATGGCACACGCCTGTAGTCCCACCTACTCAGGAGGCTGAGGCAGGAGAATCACTTGAACCCCGGAGGCGGAGGTTACAGTGACTCGAGATCGCGCCACTACTCCCCAGCCTGGGTGACAGAGCGAGACTGTCTCAAAAACAAAAACAAAAACAAAAACCACCAAATTGTGATGTTCCCTTAGAACAGAGAAAAAAAGCAGATTGAAGGAAAAAACAGCAGAGATATAAGTAAAAGAATAGTTAAGGGACATGGAAGATATAGAAATCTAACATTCATCCAGAGAATGGAAGAGAATAAAAAGAAAGAAAGAAGACAGATACTGCTGAGCTAAAGAAAGACATTAGAATATTAAGTGGCTCTGAATGCCCAAAGGAATACTGAAGGCTAGACACAGTGGCTCATGCCTGTAATACCAACACTTTGGGAGGCCAAGGCAGGAGGATCACTTGAGCCCAGGAGTTCAAGACCAGACTGGGCAACATGGTAAAAACTCATCTCCACGGAAAAAATTTTAAAATTAGCTGTACATGGTGATGCACACCTGTAGTCCCAGCTACTCAGGAGGCTGAGGTGGGAGGACTGCTTGTGCCCAGGAGGGAGAGGATGCAGCAAGCCATGATCACACCACTGCACTCCACACTCCAGCCTGGGCAACAGAGCAAGACTCTGTCTCAACAAAACAAAACAAAACAAAAACAACAAAAAAGGAATACTAAAAAGTGAAACTTCCACACTTTACAGTTACAGAGAAAATTATCCTAACTACCAGAAAGAACTAAGAATCAGACAGATATCAGATTTTTCATCTGTAATAATAAACAGCAGAACATAAAAGGGTAAAGACCTGGAAATAAACTCAATTATGACCTCAGAATTCTATATCTAGCTCCATTCATACAGGAAGCCTATCTGTGTATGTTTGCCTCCGGATTCTCCACACTGATATGGATGGAGTACTTTAAACAGAGTCAGATATTTGTTGAACAAATGATAACAGACAGCAAGTTCATGGAACACTCTCCATACACACCCACACAAACACTTTCTAGGAAAAAAAAAAAAAAGCCAGGATATTATTCAGGGATATACCTGAGGGGCAGAGAGCAGGAGACATAATACAAGAAGTAGCAATAAGCAAAGACAACAGTAACACCAATAGTGAAGTGTAAATGATTGCTGATAATCTAGCTGAAAGGTCACAGGCCATACTCTCTGACCATACTGATGCACTAAAAATAATTTAAAAGCCACCTGAAAATACCCCTTTTTTTTTTGATACAGAGTCTCACTCTGTCGCCCAGGCTGGAGTGCAATGGCGCAATCTCGCTCACTGCAACCTCCGCCTCCCAGGCTCATGCCATTCTTCAGCCTCCCAAGTAGCTGGGACTACAGGCGCCCACCATCATGCCCGGCTAATTTTTTTTGTATTATTAGTAGAGACGGGGTTTCACCATATTAGCCAGGACAGTCTCGATCTCCTGACCTCATGATCCGCCCGCCTCGGCCTCCCGAAGTGTTGGGATTACAGGTGTGAGCCACCATGCCCGGCGAAAATACTTTTTAAAAAGTTTTTTTTTCTTAGATAACTCTTGGGTAAGAGAAGAAATTGATCCTCATGTGTCAGTCATCCAACCCCTAAGTATGTGCCCCAGAGAAATGCTGGCACAGGGGTACCATGAAATACAGACAAGAATGATCATAGCAGCATTCACTGTTCCTAATAACACTGGAAACAACCCACATGTCTGTATCTAGTCAAGGGGATAAATGGTATGGTGTATTCAAACAATGGAGTAAATACAGCAAAGCAAAAGAATATAGCTATGCACAATAGGAACAAATTTCACATACAATATTGAGTACAACAAAGATCTGAAAAAATATATAGTATGATTTTCGAATCAAACAAAAGGCAAAACTACACTGTATTGTTCAAGGATGCATACGTGAGTGATAACACTAGAGAAACATAAGGCAAGATGAGCGTACAGAGGCACGGCGATCAGGAAGCAGCCTGCAGAAGGTTTCTGTAGTGCAAGCAATGTGCCTTCTCTTCACCTTGGTGCTGGCTAGGTGTTAGTTCCCAAATACTCACTCTAACTATATGTTACACTAAGCTTACGTTTCACATAATTTCAATACATGTCATACCTCACAATAAAAATTTTAATAGTAAGAGCAATGTGAACACAGGATGCAATAAAATGACTTAGAAAATACAAAGTATTTAGAAAACAGATTTTAAAACTTGTGCAATAAAGTCAAACAGCACCCAAAGAAAATATATACCCTTACGTGTTTGTTTAAAAAGCAATTTAAATTACATTGATCCACTAAATTAGAAAAAGCAAAATAAATAAAAAGGGGAATTAATTAAGACATAAGGAAAACGTGAAAAAAAAACCCACTAGATTTAAAAAATAAAACTACAGGAGGATTCTTTCAAAAGACTAAGAAAATAAAACAGTCAAGCTTCTGATAAGTAATCAAGATAAAACTTTGAAGAGAAAATGGCATATAGCCACATGTGAATATGATGCAAAAAGTGAAAACTTTACACATCTTTACAATA